AGGACTTGCTTTTTGTCCCCATAAGAAAGACAAGTCCCCATTGTTCCGTTAAACATGTTTAAGTCTCTCACACACACACACACACACACACACACACACACACACACACACACACACACTCCTCTCATCCTGTGTTAATTTGGTTTGATGGAGTTTAACCGGTGCTGGCGGACATACTGACAGTCTTTATCAACAACATGTTTATTCACAACGACATAGATCTTAAAAAACAATCAATAATATCTTCATCTTCCTCTCAGCTGACTCTGTTGACTCTGATGACAGCAGCTCCAGTCACCATCAAACTGATTTCTTCAGCCACACAAAAGATGACAACTGACAAGTGACAGGGCCTCCCTCACCCAATAAACACAAAACGAGCAATTAGCCGAACGATCACCTGATAATCACGGATCGACCGCGGAGCTAGCTGGTTCCCGCTTTGCTGTAGCGATTGTCCCTGTTTTGGCAGCAGAGCATTTTGGAGGGAAACCGTGGAACATCTGGTGGAGGAGACAGGGGCTGGCACGACACAATGGGAGAACAAGTGCCTCAAAGCTTCATTATGTCCCAGCTGTTGGGCTCGCTGTTGCCCTCAGCAAAAACAACCTCAGCACAACCGAGTTCTGGCAAATCAACAGCAGACTATTTCAAACCTGAACGTCTTTGTGGTGTGTTGAAGGGAAACATGCACGAGCACTCACAAGTGATGATTGTGTTGTGGTTTTTTTCCCAATGTGAGTTGATTCATTGTGGATGAAAAGGCCGAGCTGTCAACATGGAGCCTAACATGTAAGCTTTCTTTTTGAAACATGTTCAGGCGTATATGAGTTTCATTAAATACATTTTCAGATTGTCCTGACTAAAGACCCTCTGACTTCCTGTGGCCGACGCCTTTATGTTTTCAGATTGTCCGTCCACTACGGTGGCTGGGACGTCTCAAACAGCACCATCGAGTGCAAGAGTAACAACAACACAGCTAGAAAATTCAGCCGAAATTCAACCGCAAAAGCTACGAGACGACTACAAAAACCACGACAAAACCACAAAAGTCACAAAACACAACTATAAGAGCCAGAACACAACCGCAACACAAAAGAAACACAACCGCAACACAAAAGAAACACAATCACAACAGCTCTAGGTAACCAACAATAGTGAATTGAGCAGAGTTACTTACTGTGGTCTGAAGAGTTCTTAATGAAAACAGACACATGTTAGAACCCTTTATAATGGTCTGAGGTGAGAACCGCATGGTCCCGCTCAATTAAAGTGTTTTGTACGGTGGCTGAGACGCTTCAAACAAGCGCAGTGACAGAAAACACGAATGTAAAAGCTACAACTAAACAGCTGCACAACAGAAACACAAACACAGCGTGAGTGAGCGACAACAATCCTGAGAATGAGATGAGCAGAGTTATTCACTGAGGTCTGAGCTGCTGAAAACGAGATGCTGTCTTTTATGAGTGTTACGGTACAAGTGCATGGAGGACAAAAAAGGGAAGAGCGCACCTGTACCGTAACACTCCTAATAGACAGGCATCTCATTCAGTCTCGGCCACCGTACTTTGCCCCTCCGTCCAATCATTGATCATTATTGTGAATTCATCTGATGAATCCCTTTAGGCAATAAAAAATATATTCAGCTTGACTCACGAGTAAAATAATTAGATTTCACATTAGTACATATTTATTATTCATATATTTATATTTTTCGTCTTCATCGAACACACACTTCTGTGCGTTAATGCTGAACATAAACTCAAATTTGCAGAAATAATAATGTGAACATGTCACCTTTAAAATGTCACACCACACTCGTTAGTGATAATCAGCATCTACAAGTTACTGTTAAATATATGAGTAAACAACCACATTTATATAACATTATGTATAATACACTTTACACATTAGATAGTGCATTATGTATGAATGAACATTAGTCTGACCAGGTGCTGAAAGGTTTTAATGTGAATCTTCCTCGTCTCCTCATCCTAACTTTTCTTATCTCCTACTTTCTTCCAGCTGGATGCTGTACCTCTCGCTCCCTCTCTTTCCCTCCCTCTCCCTCTCTCTCCCTCTCTCTCAGGTTGGACAGCTTGTTCAAGTCGAATGCTATTAGTTCTGGGTCAGCGTCTGGACTTTCTCTACACCCCAACAACACCTTTTCACCAGGCAGGGATTCCAGCCACCATTAATCAGAGCGGTGACAGCCCATGGATGTCAGTAAATATGTTTCCCTCACTGACTCTTTTTCCCACCACTTTCCTCTCTCTCTCTCTCTCTCCACTGCTTCTACGATTTTTCTTTTTTCTTCCGTTCTTTGGGGTTTGATGTTGCTTTGATTTTATACAATGGAAGCTCTCCTGTACATGTAGAAGTTAAATAGTTACCTCTGCGTTTGTTGGTCTGTCTGTTTGTTTGTTAGATTAACTGATAAAACTTGTTGGAAGGATGTGGGGTGGGCCGGGAAAGAACAAACTGAATTTTGGTTTGGATCTGGATCAGGATGCAGATCTAGGATTTACTAGTTCGTTCACTTTCATTAACATTGTGACGGTGTTTTGCAACATTTTTTCCTGGATTTTTCAGAGAATAATTTAAAGATCTTGATGAAAAAAGAAATCAGGAATTAGGGGATTGAGCTTTATAAGTGTGAAACCAAATGTTGGGCACGGGCGGAGGTACGTGCTCTACTGAGTATCATCTAGTTTTAGGTTGAATAGATAGTTTTGGTCTGGAGAGAAGGAGCAAAATAAAACTCTTTTCCTTTTCGTTGCCTGCTTCACCAAATATTCTCCACAACAAGTTCTCTTCTGAAAATATTTCATGCTTGTTTTATTGTTTTTGTTTGCGTTGAACAGAAGTGTTTACCAGGTGCTTAAGAATGTTGTCTGAACAAAATGTCTCTCACTGTGACAGCTTCCTCTCCTGGGCGGGTGGTGCAGCTGACAGGAGGGGATGAGTGTTGGCTTGCACGGTGGCTGCTGGTATGCGTATGTAAGAGAGGGTGTGTGTGTGTGTGTGTGTGTGTGTGTGTGTGTGTGTGTGTGTGTGTGTGTGTGTGTGTGATGCAGGCACAGGGCCAACAACAGCCAGTTGGACATGTGAGTGCCCATCTCGGGTACCTGCTGCTCCAGAAGCAGCTGTAACGTAGCCACCCATGGACGTGCAATCAGGTTGGTGGCCACTGAAAGCTGATAACGCTGCAGTTTAGCGCTTTCTCTCTGCGACAGGCGTTCCTCATGACAACAACTCAGACTTGGAGCCAGAGAAGTAAACAGAGAGCAGGTAGAGCTGGAGGAGAGAGACACCGTGACAGAGATGAGGAGATAAAGGGAGGGTTGAGGGGAGGCCGAGCGAGAGAGGACACAAATGGTGACCTTTGCAAAGATGGATTTGTTTACCAACAAATGTCCTCGCTGTCAACACCTGCCGCAGAGTGACCTTCACACGGCGACAGAGCTGACGGCGCTCATCTGTTCATCTTTGCAGCCACTTGTCAGCACTAAGTCGCTTCAAATCGACAGACGACATGAGGCAGATTCCTGCTGCGTCCGTCGATGCTCGGAGCCCTTTCTCTCCATTCAATCACTATTAGCTGTGATCACGTGGGCTGAGGTGCCCGTGATGATTCCAATCATCTGTGATAAATGCAGGAGATGCTCTTTAATGTTGTAGGATGTATGAACCTATTCTGTTTAATAATCTCCGTACAGCAACATCGAGTTCAATATTTGTGCAGCCACTGCGTCTTTGTCCTAATCGTATATTCTATTCTGGCGTGTTATATATATATTATCATGAATTTTGTCCCATAATGTGATGTCTGTTGTTTCTTATACAAAGCATGTGTTGTTCTGTTTGAAACAAACTTACTTTGCTTTGCTCTGCATCACAAACTATATCTCCCCGATCTGACCCCTGATCCAGATCCACAACACAATTTAATGGGACACATTCCGCATCTTTCAGCAGGTTTCATGGAAATCTGTTCAGTTGTTTTTGTGTAATCTTGCTTACAAACAAACAAACAAACAAACAAACAAACAGACAGACAGAGGTGTAAACATAACACTCATGGTGGAGGTAATTAATGAATAGGAGTTTGGAGCCATAACAACTAATAATTCTCATTCCACACACACACACACACACACACACAGTCGTGTCTTCATTTAGTTGATTTCAATGAAGACCTTTAACTTTAACCAGAGTTTCTAATCCTAACCTTGACTTCACCTTAAAATGTAATGATTTATGTTCTGAGGACTTTTTGTCCCCGTTATGTGACTGGTTATACAGACTATCCCTACATGAGTAATATCTGGATCACACACACAGAGGAAATGTAAGCTGATGTATCTTTTGATGCCACCACACAATGGAGGCCCTCACTCGTACACGTCTTCCTGCTGCATCCACATTATTTCAGCGAGTGATCCGTCAGAATGAAACAACCTTCAGCTTCAGTCCTGCCACCCTCTCCCTTCCAACAATAGATTTTCTCATGCACCCAAACTATTTCTCACCACGGTGAAGTGGTTTGTGAAGTACCCGAGAGGCTGTTCAGTCCTCTTTACATTCAGAACACCAGAACAAAGTGTGCTTTCACATTCAAAGACATGCCGAGCCTCCCTCACAGCACGGACGGCATTGGTTTGCATTAGCTTGTAACGTAGATGTAATTGAAGAAACAAGAGTGTCTGCTCTGGGTCTGTAATTATGGTTTCTGTCTGCTTCTGAGGACAAAGACAAATTATTTACCACAGACTAGGAAATCCCCAAACTACTGAGAGAGGATTTTATAACCTGGAACATCTCCAGAGAGGCCTGTAACAACCAAGTCACGCTAACTAAAGTTGTTAAGCTGTAAAATCAAGTTGAAGTCTCATGTTTAATTATTTCATATTAGATCAGCTATGCTAAACAGGGAAGCAGAGTGAACTGTCTTTGTGGCATTTGTACAACCCTTCTCACTTAACATGTCGACTCTGGTGTCACCACAAGATATATATTTTATTCATAGACCAAAAATAATAAACAAAAATATAAAGCATCACATCAACTTTTCATAGGCAGAGAAAAATAGAGGGTATAATTTTATACAAGACATCTAACAAGCAGGAAAAAAAAGCATAAATCACGACTAATATTAACTATTACAGTGAAAAATTTAGACAAGGGGATAAAACACAAGCACTATAAGTTGAAGAGTGTATAAAAATGACAAATTTGCTTGCAAAAATATTCCCTACTGGGTAATTACATCGACTACGGGGTTTACGAGCCCATTAGGATCAGGGCCGCTGTGTTCAAGGACACTAAAAGCTCTACACAGAGCCGTCTTGTCTCAGATCGGTAGATGCTACTGTTTCTGAAACAACCTGACGTTATAGTTAGAAGGTTCACAAGTCCTCATCAGCGTCTACACCAGCTTTAAGTTAAATCTCATGGCTTTGCTTTTCTCTTGAGTCCCTACAATGTTAAAGATTAGCACCACTGGGCTGGCATTAACATCAAACGCTGGGTTCATGTAAATAAGTACTATAAAAAGATTCAATATATTGTCCGTGTTCACCCACTGTGTCTTTGTCTCGTGTTATGGAACCAGAAGGAAATTGATCCACTTCCACCACAGCGGGTGGCTGAGAGGAAACGGGACAAAAGCTACGACTATGCTTTTTTCTCCAACTCAACATTTTTTGCTTATTTTTTGTTCCCCAGCTTCCAAAACCACCGACATTATGAAGGTCACATAATAACACATGTAAGTCCTACATGTACACAGACCTAAAAAACAGGGACATGCTATTTACACGCCGCCGTCTATCTAAAAGTTTCCCTTTGTGCTTTGTGCTGAATCTGCTTTTCGTCTTCACAGGTTTTCTGTTACATGTGACACATGTTCTGTCACGTCAGACAATATCTTCAACGTGTTATCACCTCATCAAGAATAACCGGGAGCATCATGCATCTGCTTTCAGTACGGAACTCTTGTTATGACGATCCTGAGTGAACAAAGAGTCATTATTACTGATAATACAAAAATAAAACCCATGTCATGGACTGCTGAGAATTAAAGACATGAAGTAAACTTCCTGCCATCTTTACACGTGCTGCAGAGTACTCCTGCCACACACAAGTAATCTAACTACATTTTGTGTGTTCAGTTTGTCATTTAACTACAAGTTTGCAAAGTAATACAGTTTATGAGATGTTTTTTGAAGGGTTGCGTAAAAACCTATTATGTACTAACTACTACATAATACAATGCTGCAAATGAATTTTGTACGTTGGCAAAACTTCTTGAAATTAACGCAGGCAATATTTCATGTAACAACAAAATACAACTGTCAATGAATGAACAAAATATTCACGTTTAACAAAAGTGCATCATCCTCCTGGTGACATTTTATGAATAGAATTGTCTTTAAATACTCATATTTAAAGGGTTAAATCCCTTCTGCTCTACTGTTTCCTGAAGCATCACACTGCTTCGTCAGAATAATTTGTCCCACATTTCAAATCAGTGAATTACAACAGAGTATTAGGGCCACACCGAAGAAAAAATAACCTGAGATTTCGAGAATAAAGTCAGAATCGATAAGAAAAAGTTCCATGCTTGAATTCGTTCTAACAACTACCCTTTGATGTAACAACAGCAACCGCAGAGGCAACTTCCTGTATGGTTCTTTCTTCAGAATACAGTTCCTCGCTCAATCTTTATAATAATATGATGCTAATGTGCCTATAGAGGAATCATTACGGTGTTTGGGAAATGTATACGACAGTATAACTTAACAAGTTGCTCCTGATTCCTCATTTTAACACAGATGATAAACTGGTCTTCTGATATTCCCCTTTTAAAATGACACGCAGCCTAAATTTACCTCTTCTTGTAATCTCAGGTATTTTTTCCCCTTTACGTGACCCGAATACTCTGTTGAGAGGATTTTTTTACAGCGATCAGAGGGAAAAGTTTGATCCAAACTTTGAAGATTTTTTGCTTAATCATTTGTTTCTGTCTGAAACTGTTACTTGCGTCCTCAGATTGCTGGAGGCTGCAAACGACAAACAAACGAGGCTTACAGTACAGTCCTTCACACAGTGTTTGAAAATGATGGCTCCATTATTCCATCATCTTAATACAGGATCCAATGCCCAGATACAGGAACACAGTCAAGTGAGATGTATTTAACATGATCTTACACATGCTTTACAAAGTTGTTATTAATGCTTAAAAAAAAATCTTTTTTTTAAATCCACGGTTCACTTTTAACATCTGTACACATGTAAAACATAAAAACCAAGAAAATGAAAAGAGCAAAGAAAATAAGAATCTCTTAATAAAAAAAACCAAAAACAACCCTCCTCACATTGCTACAGCCTTTCTGGCACAAAGATGCCAAAGGAAAATATTCATTCTGGACAAAATGTAGAGATCCTGCTAACATGGTTCTGCTTTAATGCACTTGTCCCCATTCGCCACAAACATCATGTTTATAAAAAGTGCTACTGACAGCTGGTGGGGGAGGAAGGACTGAGTTACAGATCGAGGAGGGGCTTGTCTTTCCGTACTTGTGTAGCCGTTCTTTTCTGCATGGAGTCTGTGTTTTTAGTCACGTGGTGTTCAGGAAGCAGGTGGATGAAGGGCTTCCCTAGGAGACACTGGAGCAGCGGATGCTCGGGGAGCCCATTTGTGTGAGCACCTTGTCAAGCCACTGCAGGGGGCCGTTCAGGTGGAGCTCGATCCAGCAGGGGGTGCTGGTCACTGTCTGTCGCCTGGGAGAGGAGAGGCAGATGTTAGAGAGACAGAGAAAGTTGTTTAGAGGACAGGAGAGGGGTGAGTTAACTTCAAAAAAGATGTCTCAGCAAAGTGAAACAAACGCACTTTCATTTTTGACGTCACACAGGACACGAGAGGCCGGCTTCAGGCAACAAAAGAAAAGAAAGTGCACGATAAACAGGATGAATGCTCATCAGTTAGTCACACTTCAAAATGAGTGTGAAGTGAACTGAAAAACAATCCATGTGTGTTTGTGTCATCATTTCTTTTGACTGAAGATCTAATCAATGTTTCATGTCTACAATAATTTAGTTTTATATGGAAACATCTTTTCAATGCCTCATCCACATAGTGAGGAGTTTAATTTAGAATGTACATATCTGAGCTGCATGATTTCCCTCTGGTTTATAGTTTGATTCATCATAAGTGTTGGTCTGAATAACTCTGATGAATCAGTTGGATGTTGTGTCAGATGTTTCACGAGATTTGTCTGATTTTATGAATTAAAAAAAGAGGAGGTAAAAGGGACAGAGTATGAAAAACAACCGACAGGCAGCAGGAAGAGGCTTGGGTGGAGAGAGAGAAGAAGAAGGAGGAGGGCTTGGCTGGTCCAGTAACCTGAATCCTGTTTTTAAGTGTATCCACATGTGAGCGTTGGGTCTGGACAGGGCTGCTGTGCAGTCGCTCACAGAACAAAGGTTTCTCCCTTGTGGAAACCTTTCATCCAATCATCTGCCCTCCTTTATTCCGTCTCCTCCTTTCTTACTATCAGTGAGTCAGACTTTGTGGAAAATAGGGTGGGGATGGAAGAGGGAAAGTCTGACATCTCTTTTTGACACAGCCCATGTGTGTTTGTTTAAAAATAGTCTGGCGTGCCAGCTGGGGCCTGTTTCTACTGATGAGGGCTCTGCAACGTCACACACCGGATTCACCAGAGTGTGAGCAGATGCCTGAGAGCGGGGGCGGCTGGATTGCGGGATGTGATTCACGCTGTCTGTTTGTTTCTATTGTGTATACATAAGGGCTCGATCTTTGCACAGTGCTGCTGACAAGTTGGTTTGGAGCTTTATCTTCTGTTAAGCAGTTCAGCTCTGAAGCGGTCGAGGTTTACGTTTAGGAAACGAGTGAGTGGCTACAGCTTACCTGTACTCGGCTCCCCAGCCCTTAACAAAGCTCATGCGGATGGTGCACATCCTGGTGAGTTGGTACACGGCCTCAAAGCCCTGGTTGACTGACTGGGCCAGCAAGGCTGCAAACTCCTGGTTGTTGAAGATCTTCAGGTTGCATCCTGGAAGAAACAGATGCTTTAAAAAAAAAGCCACTTCATTTTTAAAGTTCTAAAAATATTTAGGAGCGTTAACTAGTTCTGTATCATCCATTTAATGTAGATTTGGCAAACTAACACGGTCCTCTAATGTTTCACCACACTGGCAGGCAGGAGAAAGTCATCAAAACTCAACTTTACAACTTACAATCTAGTAGTCTCCACATATACAGTATACGTTCCCCAGCTGTGATATTTAAGGACAACACAATTTCAAAACATAAAAAAAGAAAATAAAAGCATCTGCAAACCTGTTTGTTTTTGTGTATGTTGGCCTCCGCCTATTTGGTAAATTGATCATATTTACATTCCACTTAATAATTCATACAGACAATCTCCCATTGATATTTTGTCTTTAGTGTCTTATGCAAAGGGCATGTGGACAGAAAGACGAGAAGATCAAAGAGGACAACCATCAACCTCTGTCAATCGTTCTTCACTGTCTTGCTCTTTTCTCTCCACTGTCTCCATTTGTACATCTCTGCGTCCTTAAGTTTACACTCTCCATCTCTGTCTGCTTGACACACACCTGGTGGGATCTTGCAGACTGTGGCGGGGTGCCAGCCGTAGCGTTGGTTACAGTTTGGGCTCTGGACAAAGATGGCGCTGTCGCTGAGACACTCAGCAAACACTTCTCCTCCGATGTAATACAGCCGCACACCCCGGCCTTCAAGAAAAAAGAAAAACAAACCCCTCAGCTAAAAATGGGTAAAGAAGCACTGTGTGATGCTAAATAATGATTTGAGTGGAACTGTACCGATGTGTCTGCGTGTTAACTCCACTGATGCGTTGCGGTTGACGTTGGACAACAGGCCCAGACAGAAGCGCTCCGAGTTGGATGGGTCCGTGAAGCCGTCCACTGTCAGCGACGGCTGTGAGGCGTGGAAGGTCTCTCCTACTCGCTGGTTCAGCTCATAGTATGAAATAGAGCACCAGAAGGCCGGCTCACAGTATGTCACTGGCTGAAGGTCTGACACAGAGACACAGAGAAAGAAGGTTTCATCAAACCAAATGGAAAGACACAAAGTAGAAACAGAAGAAAAGGAGTACAATGTACAGGGTGGTTGAAATGTGCAGATCAATTAGAAGAGGTTGAAATAAAACAGGCAAAAAGAAACGTATTAGAGCAAAAGAAGAAGAAGGGGGAAAACAGAAAAATGATGGCCATAAAACAGAGGAGCTGGTAGACAAAATGGAAGTGAAGAGCAAAAAGGAGGAGGCAAATGGGTGAAATGTGGGGAGAAAAGGGGCTGAGGTAAAGGGGGAAAAGAAGCGCCACCAAAGAAAACATTAGGCTGGGCTTGCATCACAAAATGTCAAACCCATACGTCGTTTCCCAGAAGCTTTTACCAGATAAAATGTGGAAACTTAACCCTCACTGAAGGGACAATGGAGCCAAGATGGTCAAATTACAGGCTTATCCGTGATAGTTTTCAGTAACTTCAACTGGTTCTGGTAATTTGCTCTTTTTCCCCTCAACGTGGCCACTCTCTAACAGCTTCAACATTTCGTCCTTGGCTTTTGAAGTCCAGAGCAAAGCTGGACAGCACTGCCAAATGAAACTGGTGTGATTTTGTTATTTCACCAGTAGCTTTCCAGCCAAGCCCCCTGGCGTTCTTCCATCCTGATGGAAAAAAAATGTAGGATATTGTCATTGATGTTAGTGTTGGCTGGATGGTGTCTTGGCCTGTTCGGCAGCTCACATGGTGCGAGGAAGACAAAGGCTTCTTTCATCACCTGGTTTCCTCTCTCAGAGTTAAATCAAACAGAATTCCCACGGGGGAGATACACCATTGAATCATTTGTCTATATGTGGACGCAGGCAGACAGAAAAGTACACAAACACAGACTGGCGCACAGACACACAGCCCTTACCTAAGTTGCTGTGTGTGGGTGAAACAGGGTTAGGTGACAGGTTCGGGGAGCTTGTGTCCATGCTGTGGGTCATCTGGTGGTCGCTGGTCTCACCATCCTCACTGAGGTAGCCTGGTGGTGGCGTTTCTGAGACACACAAACACACAGACAAGTCATTACATTTGTGTTGCATGAACACATTCACATTTAATAATCATTTTTAACAATGCACAGCCACGTTGATGTTATCAGGAGTCCCTCAGAATCTCAGTTAATCATATTTGACATAGGAACAGATGCTTGTCAGTGCTCAACTAGAGACCAGGTCAACTAATAGGAAACTGTAAGTGGGTAATTGAAAGTCAAATAATCAAACTACTGATAAAGTGAGTCAAAGAGAAGACGGCAATGTGACTGATCAATGTATGATGTTAACAGCCTGACACTCGGATGCTGTGGCTAATTGGACTTGGTATGAAAAGGATTCTCTAAGGCTGAACAATGGGGTCCAGATATTTTCCTGAATATTCCTTTCACGAATGAAAGCAACTGACCGGAGTTCAATGCTTGTCTGAAAGCAGCTGTACAAGTCTTGAGAGTTAAAGCAGCATCAGAGACATAGGACCCTATCATACATGCAAAGCAGTGCAAAGTCTTTCTTAGCTGTTATTTAGCGCCCGTGTTGTGAAATAGCAAATGCACTTGACTGTGAGCAAAGAGAACTGATTTCCTCTAAAGAGAAGCACGCTCTCTCTCTCTCTACCTAATATCCACCGTTATAATAGCACATTTGATAAAGAGCACCTGACTTGTGAAGGGAAAGCGAGATGAAACTCTGATTGGTGTAATGCCTGTAACACTTGGCACAGCAACTATTTATTTTGCCAACTAGCTAAAGTGGATTTGGGTTTGCCCTAAATGCACTTGCACCATGCGCTTTAGGCCATGTGCTTCTCTAATAGAGCCCTGAGTGCGAATGGTGTTAGGAGGCTTGCTGGTACCTGGTATGTAGTTGCTCTGGGGCTCAATTCCAGCAGGGAAGTTGGTGTTTTCGGGGATTGAATGGCTGTAGTCATCCAGCGGCGGGAACTCACTGGGGATTTCTGTGTGTCTGGGCACCAGCACAGGTGGTAGTACTGTCCAATAGACATAAAAGCAGACAGACACACACACAGAGCATACCAATAGTGATTGGTAACATGTCTGGATAACAAAAAAATATTATACAACAAAACAATAAAAGAACCATGATTGTTTCTGCAGAGGAGATAAACCTCATACCTGGTGTCTCCACTCTCTGGTAGTGGTACGGGTTGACGCACACTTCATCCTTCTTTGTGTGGAAGGCATACTCGCACAACTCCACCGCCCGCAGCTCATGGTGGGACTGCAGGTCGGGCCAGCGCCACAGACGGCAGTAGATGACATGGGGCAGACCTTTTCTGTGGGAAACCTGCAGACGGCCATCCAGAGACCTGCAGACAGGAGGAGAAGCAGAGACGTCTCTTAATAATGTGCAACTTTTTGTTTTGAGATACAGCTTGTTTGTCTTCAATAACTTTCTGGTGATGACATTATTAAAACAATCTGACCTGTTTAATCTAGTTAATGTCTGATCTGTGTTCTTTTTCTACTTTGTCAAAGAAAAATCTATTTTATTTGCATTCTTTTATTGTTTGCCTCATTGTAAGGATGTTCTTAGATGTTATTGATGTGATGATTGTCTCAGTCCTTTGAGAGTTGAAGCAAAAGTTAGTCAAACTCAGTGGAGACATTATGACATTGTGTGTGAATACAAACTTTTTTTCCCCACAGCATAATAAATATCATTGGATTTTGTTTTCATTCATTCTTCACATTGGAATCAACCAAACATAACTCTGTCCTCAAAACCCATCAAACACTGAGTCTGGGCTCTTGCACTTCACTTCCTCCTCCTGACGAGGGATCCAGCTGTGAGTGCACTGGTTATGAGCTGATGTCTAATAATAAACAATGAAATTACAGCGTGTACGATAGAGACTTCATTGTGTTTTGTAACATCTGCACTCATCTGGTCTACAATACTATTGGCAGGTTGATGATTTAGGCCGGCAGATATTAATGAGCAGTAGTTTGAAGCTCAGATTGACATAATGGGGTTGGAGCCTGTAATCTCTGAGCACAATGACCCATGAAAGAAAAAAACCCCTCATCATCTTACGTAAGAGGCAACGGCCACATATGTCCCTTCTAAATCTCTCTCTCTCTCTCTCACCCACTCACTCTCACACAAATACATAGTAAGGGTCACAGGCTTAAGCTAAAGCCCTTCGCAAGGACAAATATCAGTCACTGAATAAAAACAAGGCTGTGTCCTGTTTAACCACTCAAAGCTCAGTAGTTGCACATCTGGGTCAACCATTATGGTGTTTTAATGTTTTATGGCAAAAGCTTTCATTCACTGCCACTTTCCTTTAATAGAGGCTGGGGAGTGTGTATGTTAGTGTGCGCCTTATGTGGAGACAGGCATACAGGGGCACACGGCTGAAGAAGCAAGCTGCTGAGGCTCAGAATCCAAAAAACACATCCCAAAAGACTGCAACTGAGTTAGCTGATGTAATAAAGTCGAACTGAACCTGGAGCCAAAGATCTAATAAAAGACCAAATCCTGTAAGGAGTCAGTATAACCCAGGAGAACTGCCCTGCACTCAACAAACTATATACTGAATAAACTATAAAGTTTTATACAGCTACAAATCTTTATACATGTTTGATAGTTTTTGATGTAGTTCTCACAATTTAAACTCAACAATTACACATAAAAGAGCAAGCTATCTTCATAAATGTCACAATAAAAAACACAATTGGTGTCTCCCTCACCTCCATTGTTAAGTGATAGGGTGCACTGAACTGTCTCTGTTAAAGATTGTTCTGAATAATAAGTAGGGAGCATAGATCGTATTCAAAGATGGACAACAAGTTTCCTCTTCCTCCCACTGTCGATAAACACACCGGACCAATCGTGAGTAAGTCAATCAGGGGGTTTCATCCCATTTTTATGATATCAAAGGAGAAATTAAAACGAATAATTAACACCTGAACATACATCAATGTGATGAGAACTATATTTGATAAAAATCTACTTGACATGTATCTTGACTTTATAGTTTGGGCCATATCCCGTCCATTAACCTAAGCCCTTCTTCCACTTGCCAAAAAACCCACTTATACCCGCTAACCTCTGGCTTTTGTCTACAATAGAAATGGATTTATTCATCATCCACTCCCATGAGTAAAATCTGGATCATAAAAGTGTTTTTGAGTAGCTACTCGTGCGCACTGTTCCTCTTTTCTATTGCACTTTTCCTGTGTTTGATGTGTATACAGTCATAATTTACTGTGGCTGTTTCCCTTTACCACGTAGCACAATTCTGCAATTTTTCACGAGTGCAGGAGCAATTCTGGCCTTTTCATATATTAGTAAGCTGCCTTATAAGTTCCAGGGGCTCGGAAAAATAAAACAAACATAAAAATATATATATAAAAGCTATGAAATACCTAAATCACCATCATAGGAAAATTATCCGAAAGTCACGAGGGAAACACATGAAAAATACATTTGCAAAGAGGAACAGTGATCACATGTAGACAACACTGGCCAAAGGAAACAGGATATTTACTTAATTACAGATTGAACCAAGCAAACTGGAATAAAACTTCACTGACATTATTCACAAAAAATGTGCATTAAAAGGTTCAAAGAAGTAGAATTTGATTCAGTGTCATTGTGGTTTCACTTACTACTTTAAAGCAGAAAAAGTAAGAACAACTTTTTTTTACTGTAGATGTGTTAACTAGTCAGACTGGGCTGACCTGATGTCAGTGGTATGTGTGTTTGGTCCCTGGTGCTGCTGAGTGGGTGTTTGGTGGGGCCAGACTCTGTGTGGGCTGAGACAGACGTGCACAAACTGCGGTGACATTACTGGTTAGTTGGTGTCCTACTTAATGTCCTTGTGAAGCCTCTTCCAGCCAGTGTTTTTAAAGGGTTACAGTCATAGTTTGGTATGACTCACACTAATAAAGGCACGAGAAGCTGAACTGCACATGTGGAATACAACATGTGGACATACAATCAACCAGAAACAACAAATATGACTTTTTTAACAGTTTCAATGACAAATTAAGGTGCGCGACACAACAACAGTCTACACACAAACCATATTCTCCCAGAAGACAAGGGAGAAGCAGCCTAAAAACTTACAGCAAATGAAAACATTGGGAAAAATGAACTCTACTGTTTACAGTGAAACACAGGCCAAGTCAACACGAGCACAACTGAAATCTTCCATCTGAGCCTCAGCTGTCACATTTCAACATCTTTGATTTCAACACATTACAGGAAGTGCTAATCTGCCAACTAGTATATTAAGTACAAAAATATCTCCATCATGTCGATGAATCACAATATTAAACTTCTCATGTTTGAGATAAAAATAAGAATAATAAAAAATACCATAATAATATGACACTTTGAAAGAAGCTGCGTTGCAGATTGAGCATTTTTGCTTTTGATACTCCTGTACTAGGTTTTTAATATTCCTGCTTTGAGGACATAACATAACTTTTAACTGAGCAACAGCACCATGGTAGATATTACCCATGATCCCCAGCTTCCCGACCCAGGGGAGCTGCAGCTGTAACAAAAACACCATACTCTGTTTAGAATTCTTTATATTTAAAATTTTACTGGCTGACGTCCAAGTCTTTTTAACAGATCTACAGTTCAGCATTCCTCTTCAACTTGCTGGGCCTGATTATAGCAATTTAAACTGTGACGATCAGTCATCTCCACACACACGGGAGATCGTACCCTTTCACTTAGGTCACATAGAGCAAGAAGAAGTGTTTTTCCAACAAGTCCAAGAGATTTTGAAGCTGCTATTTAAAGGTAATAAAAAGATGCATAGTGTTACTGTCAGCAAAGAACACCAATACTTCTTCCTCCTCTGTTGTTTATCTAAAGATAAAATGTAAAGAAAACCCCACAGCAACAGTTAAAACTTTGTGCACATGAAACACATGGACAGGTCTAGGCACACACTTTCTCAATCTGAGTGTGTGACTCACTTTATTGAAGAGATTTATGACGGCATGCTGGAATGAGACTTTGATGAGAAACAGTTTACTGACAGTAAAAACCACTCCTGTGCCACCACCAAGCCTCAGCCTGTTGTTTAGAGGAAGAGCCAGTAGCGCTGTCTAAACAGCCAAGCTCACATTCTGCAAAACACTTCAACATGACATGAAGCTCAGAGTCCTTCAGCTATGTAGCAGAGAGGGGGGGGAACTATGACCCCAAATTCCCTGCTGGGCTCCTCTATGTATGTGTGTGTGTGTGTGTGTGTGTGTATGTGTGTGTGTCTGAGTGGGCTCCAGACTGAAGATTTGATGGACATGGGTGGGATCCAAAAGCTTCAAAAAATTCATGAACTCAGGCCAGCACTTTGCAACCTTCAGCCTCTCCCTGCAGCACTAGAAACTGGTCAACACACAGTAACAACACCAATGACTTTTTTGTTTTTTGTTCATAGAAGACTATATCCACTGATGTCATGGTGTGAGGGCAGAGAAATTCATTAGTTGTTTTCTCAATAACCAGTTTTGTTGTTTTGTTTATGAAATGTCAGAAAACTGTTTAAAGGTCATACTCGGAATAAGCAATAATAGCATCATACCATGTGGAGTATTCTGACTGTAGTCATTATGCTGACATGTGTGACATCTTAGTCACATTATCATGCGGAGCATTCATAGCATTTTGCAACATCGACATACGGCAGTTACCCAATGCTTTCAGGCACATGCCCTCAGTGTAAACAAAGGTTGTAGAGGAGATGCACCCACAGTGGTTTACTGTAGAATCGTACATGAAACTATTTCAGTTTGAGGTTTTAAAACTTTGGATGTAACAGTGTAGCAGACGTAACGACTTTAGTCAGTCATTTCTGTGACATGTTAACAGGAATATGAATGGATTCATATAATAGCAACTCATTAAAACATTGCAATCAAAATAAGGTCTTATTGTGAATAAGGTCAATAGAGTATTGATGTCTGAATCAGTGGAACCAGATCTTTAAAGACCCTGTACTACTGCCTCCCTGTAGTGCAAAGTCAGTGTAATGTCCGATTGAGCCAACAGTGGAAACAGATAAACTGACACAAAGCAGAATATATATATACAATGATGTAAATAAGGAATCCAATTCCTAGGACAGGTAAACTGAACAGGGTCATTGTTATGAGTAACACTGGTGCTTTCACCTTTTTGGCTTTGCACATTCACCAAATGGTTGAGATGTATAACCTTTTATTTTATTATTATATGACTTCATGATTAATCAAATATCAAACAGGTAATTTTTAGTTTTTTGACAAATCAAGATAAACTGCCCCCCTTCCCCCCCAAAAAAAACTAACCAAAATATCCATA